GCCTCGGCCACAGATTGGCCGAGGCGCACGCCTTGGCCACAGATTGGCCGAGGCGCACGCCTCGACCACAGTTCGGCCGAGGCGCACGTCTCTGCCGGCCGAAGCCCGTCTCGGCCTTCAAACAAAAAAAACAAAAAACAAAAAAACAAAACAATAGGCCGGAGTCCGCCTCGGCCGCGATCGGCCGGAGGCACGCGCCTCGGCCTGCCAACCTAGGCCGAAGCCCGTCTCGGCCAGCATAAAAAATAAAATAAAATCACATACTCAGGATTAACCGGGATTCTGCACGATATCAAGCAAATCCAGTCTTACTCCCTAGTCAACTCAAACACATCCGTAGACTCAGGAGTAGGGGGACTGGTTACAGGATAATGGTGCTGGCACCCGACCCGGGTCACCACATGGAAACCCAACGGGCAGAATTACAACGGGTGTCACCTTTACTGCCATTGAAGTCACCATTGAAGCCACCATTGATGTCACCATTGATGAGAGAGAATTAAAGGCTTATCTCCCCATTTATGTCTCATGTTGTTACCGTTAGCAGCTTTTGTATAAGTAGGGGCTCCCCTCAGCTTGGAGGGACACGTTGACTATTTTGTACTAAAACACTTGGCAATACAACTATTGTCACTCTTTTACACTGCGTTATTCTAATAATATATTTCCGGTAACATATTTACCGTCAATATATATATATATATATATATATATATATATATATATATATATATATATATATATATATATATATATATATATATATATATATATATATATATATATATATATATATATATATATATATATATATATATATATATATATATATATATGGAGCCAAATTAATTATAATTGAGGTTTAAATGAATATATACACAAATTATATTAAATATAAAACTTTACCAATAAATTTGAACACAATAAACTTTTTCCTACTTCATTTTGCTTTAATATATATAGAGATTGAGATATAATAAAATATAATTTATAAAATATAAATACACATAATAACTTCAAAAAAAATATGTATAAATACATCTACCCACACAATTAATGCATTCATACTTGCTAATCTTGATGCATTCACACTTTGGAGTGAAAATTTTGTGGCCATCATTTTGCTTTAATATATACTAGTAACTATCCCGTGCGATGCACGGACTATTATTCATTTAACAAATTTACCAATAAAATTTTTGATATCCTCTAAATTAGCAAATAAAGTAATGGTTGTGGAAATAGAAAAACGTACCTGAGTTCTTCAGCTAAGAATTAGTTGTATTAAAAATGTAAGTATAACTATACAATTTAATATTTAATATTTTTAAAAGTTTAATTATGTTGATTTTAAAGTTTATTGTTACTTGTATTATTATTTGAATTTTAATTTGAAATAACTACTTTAATTATATAACTAACGTATTTAAATAAAATTTGTAAATAAAATAACAGGCAATATTTGTCAAAAATCTCCACCAAAAATTTATTCATTTGAAAAAAAAATTATGTAAGAATTATGTTTATTTTGTATGTAATTTTTCCTTTTTATATATGCAGAGTCAAATTAAATAGAATTGAGGTTTATATATATATATATATATATATATATATATATATATATATATATATATATATATATATATATTGTTGGAAAAATAGCATTAAAATGACATTTTAAGTGGTTATTTTGTGGTACAATTATCAGTGAGGTCCACTTCCAATTTGGATCGGGTCAAAGTGGATTCGGGTCCTTCGTAGTGAGACGAAGAGATTGATATATTGTACGCTCAAAAAGGCTTGATTCAAGCCCGAGCTCGTGTGCACGGGCACGATTGTCGTTCGGAAATTGGTTGGCCTTGCAGGCTAAGTTATGTCAACTTTCAGTATCATTTTTCCAGGCCGAAACTTGGTTAGTTTCGGCCAGAGAGGCCGAAACAACTGGAGCAGTATGGTTTCGGCCTGGGGCCGAAACTTAGCCAGTCTGGGGTGGCTGAATGCCAACAGACAAAAGTGGGATTAAATTCTCAATTAATTTCAATTTTATTTTTGAATTTAAATGGCTTGCTGTTTCAGATGTTACATAGCCAAATGTAATGACCATGATCAATGCTATTAAGTACTCCTCCCGTATATAAGAAGGGGTAGAGGGCAGAAGCTTTAAGACAACAACACAAGTACATGAGCTCACACATGAAATTTTGTTTTTCGAGCTTCAAAATACTTCTGCTTCTACTCCTTTCGTAAGCCTAACCTAGAGATGATTTCAAAAAGGGTTGATTCAAGCCCAAGCTCGTGTGCGCCGGCCCCGGCCCCTACGGGCACGAATGTCGTCCGAAAATTGGCTGGCCTTGCAGGCCGAAACTGGAGCAGTATGGTTAGACAAAAGTGGGATTAAATTCTCAATTAATTTCAATTTTAATGGCTTTCTGTTTCAGATGTTACATAGCCAAATGTAATGGCCATGATCAATGCTATTAAGTACTCCTCCCCTATATAAGAAGGGTTAGAGGGCAGAAGCTTTAAGACAACAACACAAGTACATGAGCTCAAGCATAAAATTTTGTTTTTCAAGCTTCAAAATTGCTTCTACTCCTTTCTTAAGCCTAACTGTGTTCAAGGCTTTGCTCTAGTTCGCCGGGTTCGTTTGTTTGGGTGCTCAAACGTAGAACCGAAGCGCGTTTTTTTATCCTTGGAAACCTACGCCACGACGCTCTTAGCACTTTTGGGAGGTGACAAATAAAGTTTTAAGGAAAGAGTGGTCTCTTGACTCACGCTAAAAACCCTTACCCAAACACGAGCCAAACTTCTTCTTCTCACGGTTTTGGATTATGCTTCTAAGCAAAATCCTTCTATCTATTTGATTTTGTTGTGGATTGGATTTATAATCTGAGGATTATTAGTTCTAATTTCGATTGATATATATTGGTATATCTTTTTCATAGATATATATGTATATATAACTGTTGGTTCCGATATATATATATATATATATATATATATATATATATATATATATATATATATATATATATATATATATATATATATATATATATATATATATATATATATACAAATTATATTAAATATAAAACTTTACCAATATATTTGAACACAATAAACTTTTTCCCTACTTCATTTTGCTTTAATATATATAGAGATATGCATCTCATATTCATTTAGTACAAAACTGGAGCAATATCTATGTCAAATTCATTTCAATCAGTGTGATTTTCATTCATGTTTGCAATATCTACAATATCTTCATATAAATAACATATTGATGTTTTGACATATTTTGCTCATTCACTTTTATTGATTACCAATCATAAATAAATTTAATGTATGATTTAATAGACACATCATACCTGATTCCGATCGCCCAATAAACTGAAGATTATATCTCAATAGCTTTGTTTTTTTTTTTGTTTTTTTTTTGTTTTTTTGTCAGACCATGAGGTGTGCTGAGCAGACCCTAACTGTAAGAGGCACCTTTAAGCTCAGAGCAAATTACATATTTGGTCCTATGACTATACGTAGCGTGTTAATTTCAGTACTTGACTTTAAAAATTAATAATTTAATCCCATAACTATGCAATTTTTAATACATTTGGTCCTCCCCGCCAAATCACCTGCGAAATTTGACTGGAAAAATTTAAACTATTTTTAATTATTTAATTATAGAGGCAAATTGGTCATTTCAGCTCTTCCTTCGCCCTTCTTCTTCGTTTTCTGTTCTTAACAGAGCACTCCGATAGCCCATCAGTCGATGGAGAACTCATGGTTGTCTCCTCTTACAACTTTCGGCACAACGTACTTCTTTGTGCCGACGAAGGAATTCGAACGTAAAATGAACCGGAGTTCCTTCTGTTTACTGACAAAACGCATGCACTCTTATGTTCCACTAGTACAAAAATCATCAATAAAATTGAATAATTTGCATCAAAAGTTTAAATATTGAATGCCTAAAGTAGAGGGCAGTGGCATTTTTATAATTAAAATGTCACAATTTATTTTATTTATTTTTTAAAATTAAAGACAATCGGAGTCCAAAGTTTGAGAACTTTGGACGCCGATTGTCATGCTGCGATTTTAGAAAGATTATCCGCGTCCTAAGCTCTCGCACTTTAGACACAAATAATTAAAGCGATAATATAATCTGAGTCCAATGTTGCTAACATTTGACGCCCCAAATTGTTATATATATATATATATATATATATATATATATATATATATATATATATATATATATATATATATATATATATATATAATAAGCTAACATAACCAAGGTTATCTTACATAACCTAAGAAATTGAGGGGGTGTTTGGTTGGGGTTATATTAGATAACTAGGGTTTTATTAGGTTAGTTATATAACATGCCTTTGTTTGGTTGAGGTTATACAATATACCCTTGGAATCCAATATCACCTCCACATCAGATTTTTTTCTTTTTATGAGGGAATGTGATTCCCTTGTCAATCTTAGGTTATCTTGGATTCCCTTGGCCATTTTACATTGTTTGCCCTTTGTATCACCTCCAACATTTTCTTGTTTGTAATGTGATTTGCAATAAGAGGGTATTAAGGTAAAATAACCATTATAACATAACCAATAATTCATCAACCAAACAGGTTTATATTACATAACCCTGTTTTTACCAAACACAGTAATCTAACATTCTCAGTAATCTAACATTCCCAGCAATCTAACACTACTACAGAATGGAGCAAAGAAATTCTACTTTAAGCTACCCTTCTTTAAACAAGGGTAGTGTATTATTTAAAAAAAAAAAGGACGGTGGCATAATTGTAATTAAATGAATAAGAAACCGCTACCCTTTCTAAAAGAAGGGTAGCGGTTTAAAAAAAAAAAAAGAAGACGGAAATAGTTTCCGCTGCCCTTTCGCGTAGCAAAGGGCAGCGGAAAAGATATTATAAAAAATAAAAAAAAACGAAATTAAATTAAAAAAAACCTAACCCTCACCTCACGGCCGCGTTCTAACTCCATCCTCACCGCTCACATCTCACAACCGTACCCTCACCTCACGGCCGGCATCTCCGTAGGACACGGCAATCACCTCACCGCATCTCCGGCCTCGACTCCCGGCGAGGACACGGCGACGCCTGACCTCACCATCGACTCCCTCAGCCGTCGCTATAGTACGCGCGTTCTCCTCACTGCCACCGTCTCATCATCGATTCACCGCCCCACGCCCTCATCCGCCGTCTCCACCGCCACAGGGTCGCCGCCGCTCCTTCGATCCACCGCTCCAGCCGCTGCTTCGTCCATCAGGTAAGGTTTTTTTTTTTTTGGTTAATTTGTTTTTTGTTGTTATTTTTGATATAATTACAGTAGAATTATTCGGCTAAAACAGGTTATTAATCATAATTCGTTTCTGACCCCTGTTACCACACAAGAATGAGGGTGTAGAGAGATTTGGGTGTTTCTATGGCGGTTGCCCCTCTCTATGCTTCAGTGATTCCTTTAGGCTTTGTCCGCATGCAACAGTCAAATATTTCATTCCAACAACAAACAACATACATATATATAATGCTTCTTTCTGTTTCTTAAAACTGGGTAAATAATTTACTGCATTTTAACTAGTTAAAAAGGATAGAAATTATTTGAAGAACATCATTTATTCATGTTAGTTAATCTCGACAATAGAGTGCATAATATGCATAAACTATTATAATTTTTTGTTACGTTGTAAGATTAATAAAGTATTTCATTAACTTTTTTTAGAGTATTTTATTTTATTTCAAATGCAATATAATATGTTTATTGATTTTATTTCTGTTTGTGCAGGTGTATGTAGACAACTATGAGTAATCAATCTATCATTTAATACATTACACCTTAACTATCATTTGTTGGCTGCCTTCTTATGCTTCTTCTTCTGCTTAAAATGGTTAGACATTAAATTCTGCTAAATTCTTGACTAGTTTTGGTTGTGTTTGAATGTGATCTGCTAGTGTGTGTTTTGTTATGCAATTCGCATTTTGTTATATGTATATGTGGATGTGCAGCGAGCAGATCAGAGGTGAGATAGAGCTGGGTAAGCTAGTAACATCTAATCATAATCCCGTACCCAATCCTCCATCCTGATTAGATGTTACTAGGTTTTAGGACTGACTGACAGATGGTTAGATTATAAACTCTTATGATAGTAGGAGATATTGCAGTTTATTGAAGTTTCACATGGTTCGTGCAGAAAAAACTGAAACCAATGTAATTGAAAACTTGGACTAGCACCAATAAGTTATGAAATTGTTAGCTTGCAATAAAGTATAATGGTGACAACAGAAATGCCTTCTTGCCATAAGGTCCAAAAATAGATGAAATGAAATACAGAGTATGTGTTATTTTAACTTGGATTTGAAGTAGGATGGAGAGTACCCTCCTGAAGAAATTAAGCTTATGGGGTTGCTCTGTGTTCAGTACCCTCCTGAATCTTTTGTTTCTTTGGTTTCTTTTCTGATCTTTTCCTTGGTTTCTTTTCAACAACAGGTTTGATACAGCTGGTCTCAACCTAATGATGGGATGCTTAGTTGGGCAACTTCTGAGGGGGGGCAGCAGGAGAAAGGGCAAGGCTAACACAAACAGGTGGAGAATTGGGAACCTAATCCCAGTCTTCTACTGATCTGCAGGCCAAAACAGAAGGGAGCAAGATTAAGAGGGCTGCAGCCTGTTGATTTTTGTTTGTTTTTGCAGAGGTAAAGGACTACCCCATCCTGATGAGGCTGCTAAGTAATCAGCAGCTGAGGATACAGCAAGGTCTCTAGAAGGGAAGCTAGAAGCAGGGATGGAGCTGCGGGCATAACCTGATGATTTATTGCTTAGCTGGGCAGTGTATGAGGGTGGTCAGCAGAGAGGTAAAGTGGCAAGCAAGGAACAAGCTTGGGGCTGGCAATGGAACACCATGGTCATCTCTTTTTAGCATGCTAGAAAGGATTAGTTTTGGTATCTCATGTCTTTTTAGTTTTGTTTCTTTGCTGTGTATGTTTGTTTGTGCTTTGTTTGGGGCTGGAGGCTTGGTGTGGTCCTTGTACAACACTCACACTGATTTGGGAGTGCCTTGGCAAAAAGGAAATGATGGAATAGTAGGGAAAAGAAAAAGAAAACAAACAGAATGATGAAAACAGAAAGGAAAAAGAGAAAAAGAGAAAGGAGAATAATTGAGAGAACTAGGCCACAATTTACATGATAAAGTGATGAACTAAGGTTCAACAATAATTTGATTGCTACACAAGCATATTTAATATGTTTGAGTATGATCAATAGTGCTGAGTTAGTTTCTCTTGTCAGTGCACCAAAATAATGTAATATACTTTGCTTTTTATTTTTATTTTTATTTTAATATTGGGAATTCTATGTGTTGCTATGCCACTTTGCTTTTGGAAGTATAAATCAATGGAATGGCTACTTGGAAATTCACATCTGAAAATGGTAGATTGTTTGCTATTTGGTATATTTGTTTGCTATTTGGTATATTTGCAGTTGGGTTTTATGTTTATTTGTTTTATGTTTGAAGTTTGAGTCTTTCTTGTGATTGACAAATAGGAGGGAGGTGATGAGGAAGAGTTTGATAAGTCCAAGTCTGAAGTGAATGATGATGAGGAAGACGGCAGTGGAGAGGTTTGTCAACGTTTCATTACGACCTTTTAAGTACAATAGTATTCAAAAAAAAAAAAAGTACACTATACACTGTATTTATTTATGATCGATCTATGTGATGAATGTAGCATGCTAATCATATTTAAAGATCATGTGCTTTATTATATTCCTTCTTTTTATACATGCATATATACTTAAAAGTATAAAGTATCTATTATCATATGCAAATTTATTATGTAAGTTTTAGTTTTGGTTGCATGCTCATCACTTTGAATAACAAATTATTACATTAGAAATAAGTGATCTTGCACCTTTACTTTTACTTTAGTATTTGATATAGTGTGTTGATAATATTGTGTTAATATGTAGTGTGTTGATAATATTGTGTTAATATGTAGTGTGTTGATAATATTGTGTTAATATATAGTGTGTTGATAATATTGTGTTTTGATAGTTTGTTGATAATATTGTGTTTTGATAGTTTGTTGATAATATTGTGTTGATATGTAGTGTAAGAATTTCGCATAGGATTTTTAAAAAATTAGGGGATTTAAAAATAAAATGTTTTTTTTTTAAATAAAAAAAAATCTGCTACCCTTCTTTTGAAAGAAGGGTAGCGGATGCTTTAAAAATATAATAATATTCGCTACCCTTCTATACAAGGGTAGCGGAAAGCTCACGACTTTCAGCGTCCCCCACATCCGCTACCCTTGTACAAGGGTAGCGGATGACCCTTTACAAGGGTAGCGAATGTGCATTTCTGTACTAGTGTAACAATCCCTAAGGTAATTTGACATTCCGTGAACCAAACGATCCCTGAAGGGAATCACATTCCCTTCAAAATCCTATGTGGAGGGAATGTGACATTCCTTGGGAATGTTATATTCTCTAAGATACTATGAACCAAACATAAGAATGTGACCTTTGGAATGTCACATTCCCTTGGTTATGTTATATAACCAGAACCAAACGCCCCCTAAGTAGCTTTACAATTAGATTTATGCTTTTCTGCTTCCACTTCTACTATATTCTTCCCTGCAGGTGTGGTAAATGAAAGGATCAAGGAAGCTCATCAGGATAAATTTGCCCCAAAGATGATGCTTTTCCAGGTTATGTTTCCTTCATAATTTTTTGGTCATGTTCTGCAACCTTCCCTTCCTTGCTAGTAATATATCCTCCACTTGTGAAATTGAATTGTGTTCTTGGTATTTTGTATCTTATCCACAAAGCATCTCTTAGACTCTAGTGTACTGGAAACTGAAACTGGCTTTATGTCAAGTGTGTAATGTACTATTAACTCTTAGGCTAAGTGATCATGTATTTTACCATGGACTTGGACTAGCACCTGCAAAGAATCTCCAAAAATTGGAAATCTTTGAATATTTTTTATTATTAAAATGATTTTACATTTCAACATATGCTATTTATTATATTGTGGTGAAAAGGTATTTGTTTGGGTTGGCCGTGTAACACAAGTGAATGAGAGGAAATCTGCTATTTAAGCTGCCGAGGTAGAAAATCTGTTTTATGCCCTTCTTAGTTAATTTTATGTGTGTTATTTAATGTGATAGAGATTCTCATACCTTTATACTAAATGATATCCTCAGGAGTTCATAGCCTCTCAAAATAGACCCCATCAATGCGTAGTACTCGGCTTATTCAAGGTTATGACACATTCATTCAAGTCCATTCATTCGCCTGTCGCCCATTGCCGCAAGCTCGCCGGTCACTACCATTCTCCTTGGTCGCCGCAAGGTACGTCCTTTAACTTTTTTTAGTGCCTCTCAATGAGGGGAAACTAGGACCACATCAACGCTATCTGCGACTACAGATCCAAGATCGAGAATGAGCTCTCCAAAATCTACGATGGCATCCTTAAGCTCCTTGAATCCAAGCTCATCCCCTCCACCGGCGCTAGTGACTCCAAGGTCTTCTATCTCAAGATGAAGGGCGACTACCACCGCTACCTCATTGAGTTCAAGACCGGCACCGAGCGTAAGGAAGCTGCCGAGAGCACTCTCATTGCCTACAAAGCTGCTCAGTTTTTTTGTTTTTTTTTTTTGTTTTTTGTTTTTTTTTACTTTCCTTCTTTTTGTGCTCTTTTGGTATCATGTTTATTGTATTTTGACTTTGGCCACAACTAAGCATGATTCCTGGTCGTAACAGGAAGAAGAAAAGAGGACAACGAGCATCTGGTGGGGATAAGAGTGGTAGAGGAATCAGACAGTTTAGCTTGAAGGGTATTTGTTCTCATTAGTGCTTTCTGTAGATTGCCAATATTTTGTTTTATCTATTTTAGGATTTATCTAGAAAAATGACTTTGATTAACAGCTTCATGAAGGTTAATATCTTTCCTTGCCTTTCTAGTGTGTGAAAAGTTGGAAAGAAAGGGAAGAATCACATATAATGAGGTTTGTTGAATCAATGGAATATGTAATTCTGTTAAACTTTAAAATCTGACACAAAACCAGACTGGACAGGATTAGCAACAATCATAATTGGAGGAAAAAAAATTCGAAGGTACAATCACACAATATTAACAAATCATAGATGGACATTTAATGAACACATAGAACTAGTCAAAGAAGTCAAAACAAGATAATCCAGGCAAAATAGAACTGCACAGTGCAAAAGGCAACGAGAAAGACAAAAAGATAGGAATTGAAAATGGTATTGAGCAAATACCACCACTAGTAGAGGAGAGAGTAGAAAAAGGTACCATAATTTTAGATTTTTTGAACTCTCCAAGTCAGCAATCGGAGAATTAGGATTAATATTTTCTGGACTAGGCCAACAATTCTTCTGGATCTGAAACAGTAAAAAAAAACATTTAAAAAAACATAAATTATTGAATTATAAAATACCTGGTTTTATTTTGATGATGACCCTTCAATCTTGTATTTGAAGATTCTCTAGTCCAACTAGGTCTTCTGCTAGTTTCCCTTGAGATACGATTGGAGTTAACTGGGATATAAAGTTTTCTTTCCTAACCCACACCCACTTAGCTTGTTTTACAAACAGTGTAATGTGTATATGGGTGTACTTCTCATGCCTTTGGTTTTTATAAAAGTAAAAACACTCAGGTCTGGTATGGCCACGAACCCTGCAATAATGACAAATAGGGTTATAGAATTTAAATTTTGGATTGTCACGACTTACATTACCAAACCTTTCCCACGCTGTACTAGTTTCTGGAGTATCCGAAACTGGTCCAAGTGTTGAGTCAGAGTCAGAAGCTTTTACAAAAACTGTCACAACCTTGTCTTTTCCGCCAGAAAACCCTAAACCATACTTGGTAGATGATGTCCTTCTAGAATCCAAGATTTGGTCGATTGTGGAAGTGTTGTTCATCATTTTAATTCTCCTTTTGAGCATGTCCAACTCTTGTTTGAGTTTTTCTTCGCGTTTGAGTCTGTCTTTGATGATGTTGTCCCTGTCAGTAATTTGATTTTTATACAGTTTCCTAGCATTCTCTAGATTACTGACTTGACTCGACAGAGATCTATTTACTTTTACAAGAATTTCCCATTTTGCATACAACTTTTTATATTGAACATCAAATGAGGGAACTGGTAAATCATGGTCTTCAGCCGACACATATTCTCTAGCTTCTGAGTCTACTTCAGCTTCTAGGTCAGACTCCATGTTGGGTATTGCAGCGAATGCCACAAGGTTTCCGGAGATCTCTCCAGGATCAGATCTTGGATCAGGATCAGGTTCAAGTTCGTCATCATCACTCCAGGTTAGAGCTGCCTTCATCGACTTCTTACGCCTTAGGTATGTTGTGCATTTTGCTCGAACATGGCCGAAACCATCACATTCATAACACCTAATGCCTTTTGCACTTGATTTATCCCTGGATTGAGAGTTCCGTGATGGACAAAAATTAGATGATCCAGTCTTTTGGCTGTTACGTGATGCATTTGATGTTGATCCCTTATGGTTTTGAAACTTTCCATTTCGAAAGTTGTTCATCTGTTTCACCTGTTTCAAAGGCTTCGAAAGTTGGTTAATAAAAAATTTAACTGGATCATCATTTAACTCGTCTGGATTAGATACTGACTCATGTTCTTCAGCTATAAAGGAATGATTTTCTTCTTTTTAGTGTGGTTAGAGAGTATTTCCATCTCATAGGTTTGCAAGTTTCCCATTAATTGCGATACAGTTTTGTTCTCCCACCCGTCATGTTCTTGAATCGTCGTTACCTTCATCCTGAAACGTTGAGGGAGTGAACGAAGAATCTTCTTGACTAGTTTAGGTTGGGAGAAAGGCTCGCGTAGAACGGTTGCACGATTTGCTAGTTCCTGAACACGGGCATGGAAATCAACTATTGATTCGTCTTCTGCCATTTTTAGATCTTCAAAGTCAGATTGAACCATTTGGAGTTTGGACTGCTTGACTGAGTTAGTTCCTTTATAGGTAGTTTCCAAAATCTCCCAAGCATCTTTGGCAGAGTCACAACTTGTAATAAGGGTAAACTGACTCTCATGCATTAAGGAATAAATAATATCTAAGGCTTTATTGTTGTAGGTCGCAGTAGTCATCTCAGTAATTGTCCATTTTGTTTTTGGTTTGAGAACTGGAGGGGCTCCTGAAGTGGCTGCATCTTTGGTAGGATGAGTCCACCCAGTGAGAACTGCCCTCCAGATCATCTCCCCATGAGCTCGTAGGTGCATTTTGGTATGAGCCTTCCAGTACGCATAGTTGTCACCTGTTAATTCAGGAGGTGCTCTATGTCGTTCCATTCTACAAAACTCAATGCACAGTAAGCTAAAGAAGATTGACCAGAAAAGAAGAATCAAGAACAAAAACCGAGATCTTGAGTTCAAGAAACACGAGTAAGCCAGATCGATTAGACTAATATTTTAAGTCCCCGGGCTCTGATACTAATTGAAAAAGGCTCGTGGATCTTGAATGCAAGATATAACCTAAAGGTTCTTACTAAATTTTAATTCAATTATTAAGTTAGACTATCTCCAGGATCTACTCCAGCCAGAATAAAGAAATTAAATATAAAAACAATAAATGGAACCGTGCACCAGGAAATGTTCACGCAGTTCAGAGCCTCACCCCTACGTCTGTGGGGCCACTCACGTCAGCCCAATCCACTAGATGATCAACTAGGAGTACAAGGGGGAGTACATTACACACTAAAGCATAAACTACACTACTCCAGCGCAGCGCACTACTCTGATCCAGCGACTACTCCAGCATCACCATGGACTTGACGTGCAAGCTATCTTCATCACAACTTGAACCAGTTGAGAAACCTTCAACACACGAATATATTAATAGAAAAACCAGTGGAGGATTTGAGGAATGATATGTATAATTTTAATCCTTGAATCTTCAAATTAATGCTTAACAAAGTAGCATTTTATAGTGATGATATGAAACCTCTTTGGTCTGAAAAAATGCAGTCTTCAATTCCTCAATTAAGCTGCATCTCCTAATTTAAAAAGTCATGGAAGTAGGGTCTTGACCAAAATAAATGTTTGAATGGAGTTTCACTTCTTCTGGAATATTACTTCCTGGAGCTGCATCCTGGCGCTGACACTGGACTATTTTGATAACTAATTTAAGCCAACTTAAGTGAATTTTAAATGTGTAACATTTTACACTTACAAATAAAAAATTGAATTGATCAGAATAACAAAGTTCTTTTTAAAACATTTCTTTTGATGTCGCAATTAAACCATTCTTGCCCAAACACATTATCCGGACATACATTTTTAAGTAGAAAAAAACAAATAAATTAAACAAACAAAATCAATCTCAAAACAAGAAAGATCTTATAAATTAAAGAGTGTCACAGTTATGAGCTAATTAAGGTATGAGGCAGAAGAAGATGAATTCCCCTTCAGCCGAGTTGCCAACGCTTTCAACAAACCCTATTGTACTTTCAAAGACGTTATTATGAACTGGACTGGGCGGCCAGGGTTTTGATATTTTTTTTCTTTTGAAAAATGTAAATGAATGCATTAATGTAAGAACGAAATAAGGCAAATCGGAGGAGAGCCCTCCCAAGTTAAATATGAAATTTTTATTTATATACACATTATTTTATACACAATTAAAAAAAAATTATATACACATATATGCATGTATGTGTATATATCTTTATTATATATTTTTATATTTAATTATTTCTATTTTAATTATTTATTTATTTTAATTTCAATCCTTATTTACTACAAAACAAAATAATTCATTCTATATAAAATTAGGAAAATACTTGATGTACTCCCATTTAACTTCCAACTTGTACTCCTTCTCACGTGACTTTGATGTAGACACTTTTCAGTGGACCCACATGATGAAAATAACCAATCCTGATTTGCCACTTCATAGAGTATAAATGAGGGAGTAGAATTTTAAGAATCTACATAGTTGAACTCATAAAATTATTGCCAACTATTTAATTCTCATTCCAGTTCTGATTTTAATATTTAAATCAAATACACCGTTAAAATTATATGTGAATGAAAGTGCTAGAATTATTGGGTATCAGTGCTTTGATATATTTGATGGATTAGATGCCGATAGAGAGGCAACTGAAATGATGCCACGAGTGCATTTGCATGCAAAGCCATGGACTGATGGACACTAATCTATACTTGAAGACACCACCTTTCACACCTGCACTGCTTCATGGAGATTAGTGTCGCTGTATGTGCCAATTTTGTTACTATATATATCCATCTTGATATCATCAAAGTTTTGTCGTAATTGGCAACTCAATCCAGTGAAGTGTACCTGTAATGAGTTTGATAATCACAAATTTTTAAATTTAAATAGTTAATTTGTCATTTTGTTAAGTTATTAAATTATATTTAATTTAAATTTATTTATTTTTAAATTTTGTGGTTGTTATTTAGCAATTAGAATTACATGATAAGATTTACTTAGTATATACCAATGATGGTAAAATTTTTTTTCATTATTCAAAAAAAAAGTATTGTCTTATTTTATTGAATAAAAAATAAAAAATGAACTTTAGAAAAATAAATTAAAGTGTGTCATTTTAATAATGAGTGAAAATAAGATAATATTTTTTGTACTTTTAATCACCAACAAGTTATAATCTATAAATATTTACAATGTGAATATATTAAAATTTTAACGAAATAACACAGTTAGTCATTAGATATTTTCAGGAATTTTAACGTCAAAAATTGATTCTGATACTTTATTAACTTAGAACGAAGTTAAATCTATTTCCTTAAAATTTGTTTAAAAGGTTAAAGAAAAATTAGCAATTTAATGCAACATTTTTTCCTTTGACGTTAATTACTAGAATGATTATTAATTTAATGCAATATTATTTTTCTTTTTACGGTAGTGATTGGGATGGTTATTAATTTGAAAATGGAAACTAAGCATACTATTTATAGTGACTTTAAAATAACAAAATTTAACTTTCTAATAATCTGCCATTATCCCACTAACTCTATTTTATAATACCATGTTCTAATCCACCTTTGTACTCCCATGCAATGATTTGATGACTTATAATAATAATAATAATAATAATAATAATAATAATAAAATAGTTAATCCACTTCTAGTCTGAATTGATTAACTATTGACAACCAAAACCAGTTTACCACAAGACAAGATTTACTGTAATTTAGTTTTTTAACCAATATTTTCTTTCTTTAATTGCTGGTTTGTTTGTAGCAATATCTATCATTTTTTATTTACTTGTATGTTGTGCAGTGATACTAAAAATATGAGGGAAGTGTGAAGGTCGTGCAGATCGAGTAAGTAGTATAAAATGGCATTCCTGGATCAATTCGATCAGTACTTAATAAGCAGCTTGTTTGTTAAGTATTATAATAGCTAATCGAGTGGGGCGGGAGAAGTACGTGATGGGTGAGATAGGGAAACTTTGTAATGAGAATGAGGTTGTGCAAGCCGAAGCTCAAACATGGAACCACATTCTAAACTATATAGATTCTGCAACTCTAAAATGTGCAGTTGATATAGGAATCCCAGATATGATCCATAACCATGGCAAACCCATGCCGCTTTCCCATCTTATCTCTGCCCTTCCCATCCACCCTTCCAAGGCTCCCTACATCCACCGCCTCACCCGCTTTTTAGTCCACAGCGGTCTGCTTTTGGTCACGAAACCAGCACGAGACGATGATGATAAGCAAGAAGAGTATTATTCGCTCACGCCAGCAGGCCGTCTTGTGATCGGAGATGATGAGTCTATAAATTTAAGGGCATTCGTTCACTTATGCATTGGATATGTTTACCAAAAGTCTTGTTATTCCTTGGGTGATTGGTTCCGAAACGATGATCCAAGCCCGTTTTGCACTGCCCACGGACAGAAAATCTGGGATTACTTCTCCCATGAGTCGGGGTACAATGACCTTTTCAATGAAGCCATGGCTAAGGACTCGGAGTTGATTGTGGAAGCGCTGTTGAGCGGTGAGTCGTCTAAAGATGTTTTTGATGGTGTTACATCGCTGGTGGACGTCGCAGGTGGGAAGGGTACCGTTGCCTCCGCCATAGCCAAATGCTTTCCGGCCATGAAATGCACCGTACTTGATCTCCCACACGTTATAGCTTGTGGAAGTAGTATTGAGAATGTGGAGTTTGTGGGCGGAGATATGTTTGAAAGCATCCCCACCGCTAACGCCGTATTACTCAAGGTATATATTGTAGGCAAATTATTCTCCACACAATACTATGTGGACCATGGTAA